GATTTTTTTTTTTTTTTTTTTTTTTGCAAACATAAATAATTCTACGAGTTTGGTGACTATCTCATAAAAATTGTAACTCGTTGCTACTAAAAAGCAATAGCGAAATCGTACGGTGTATATGTTTAGAGCGGGAACTTACATATTTATATACATATCCTAGAGTTTTAAGCTTCAGTCTTATCAATTCTAGTATGCTCTATTTATTAGTCGTACAAGCACAAGTACTACTTTTTGGCACATAATTTTTTTTTTTGGCACGGATCATCAATTGATTGTCGAGTATCTACATCGAGAATTTAAGTATTGTATACGTCATTAGTTTAATGAAGTTCCTTAGAATTTCATCATCCCTTCTTCATCAAATCCATTGAATCGAGCATCATCACTGGTGAGGGGAACGAGTGCTAGCGAGCACGCTGTGCCTCAAAGGGGGGTGTATTGCAAAATCTCACATTGATTAGAGAGGGGAACGAGTGCTAGCGAGGATGCTAGGTCCTAAACGGAGTGAATTTTGAGATCGCACATTGATTGGAGAGAGAAACGAGTGCCAACGAGGATGTTTGGTTCCAAATGAGGTGGATTGTGAGACTCTACATCTGTTGGACAGGGGAACAAAACATTTTTTTATAAGGGTGTGAAAACCTCTCTCTTACAATACACGTTTTAAAAACTTTAGGAGAATCTCAAATAGGATAATATCTATTACTAGTGGGCTTGAGTTATAAGTACTAGAGTTGGTAACCACGAATTTGTGCCCTTCATATTTATGGCGGGTCTTCTTCCATGTATTTGATGTGGTCTATCAGGGTTCTACTCTACACAATATGAGATCACTCAACGAGGTCAGTACTTGCATGTATATGAAATGATCTATCAAGATCGTGTGACACAAACCCACGTTGAGAATCATTTCTTACATGTATACGATCGTGATGGTGACGCATTAGAGTTACGAGATTATAGATCAGTGATAGAATTGTGTCTTGTGATAGATTTAAATGATTTTAACTTTTTTTTAGTATTTCTAAATATATTTAGTAAACTTTTATCTTTATTCATTAATTCGTTTCTTTATTCGAATATGAAAGGACAGGTTATGAATATTAACATACTAAAAAAATATGATCATGAAAGAGTCCAGCTGTTGGTCGGAATTAAAATGGTTTTTTTTTTAATTTTTTTATTCGAATTAAGATATCTTCACCTTATGCTCCAAACCAAAACAATATGCCGCAAAATTCAAATATATATATATATATAATACGTATAAGGTCAACCATGTCTTAAAAAAGTAACTTTAGAATAAGGTCAACCATAGCTTAAAAAAAGAAACTTTAGAAATAAGATATTAAATAATATCAAAATTTTATATAAATAATAATAAATAATTTTAACTATTAAGTTTTAGTTTAATTTTCACTCATTAATATTAAAAATATTATGCTTTAAAACTTAGATTTTTTCAAATATAATATGTTAACGATTTTTAAATTAAAAAAAATATTTATATAAAATATTATATGTCTTTTTTTTTATTTGTAAAATATAAATTATTAATTAAGAAGTTAATTAATTAGCTTACTATTATACTTTATATATGTTTTTGGAAAAACAGAAATGAGAATAAAATAAATAATAAAGTTCACTTTTTTTTCTTTCTAAATCCATACACTACTTTAATTTTTGAAATATTTTTTTCAAAAGGAGAGAAACCAACGTGACATAGAAGGTTTATTTGGTTTTTTATCGATTTAAAAATATATATTTAGAGAATAGATTCTGTTGAACCAGTCCGCTTTTATTCATCTGGATTAGTTGTCGGGTATGACCCAATAAAAATAACTTTAATGGACCTCTCTAAATAAGGACAACATGTCATCCACTTACTATCCTTACTTTTCTAGGTAGAAAATGCTAATCTTGCTTTTGTCTCCGAATTGACTATAATAGAATAAATCGACTAAACAACTAATAAATACTTGTTTGTTCTCACCTCTCGAGGTTAGTCAAACCATTAAAACATTCACTGAAAGTAAAATTGTACCGTTAAACTATTTAATGTTAGATTAAACACGACTCTCCACAATGGTATGATATTGTCTACTTTGAGCATAAACTCTCATGGCTTTGCTTTGGGGTTCCCCAAAAGACCTCATCCCAATGGAGTCAATATTCCTCACTTATAAACTCATAATCATTCCCTAAATTAACCGATGTGAGACTTTGATCGTTCAACAATTAGATTGTATTATATTATTAATTATCAATAGTTTTTTTTTGTATTCTATTTTTTAATTTGTTATGAGTATGCAAAAATAGTTGATGGTGTTAATTAATTCTCTTTTTTTATTATTTATTTGACAAAATTATTTTCAAATTGCAATTATTTTTCAATCTTACTAGTTTACTCTACTTTTACTTTGTGGTAACTTTTAAATTTTATATATATATTAAGTTAAAAAAATATGTGGCATAAGAATTTCACACTTTTGGAAAGGGTATTTTTCTTAATACGTGGAAGTTGACAACCTTTTAATTTTTAATGAATAAATTAGAGAATATATGTATTGACTATATATATATATATTCACTAAATATTCTTAAAAAAGAATAAGATTAATTACAAAAATTTAGGAAAATAAATAATTAAAATGAAAATCCTTTTTAAAATTTGAAGAAAAAAGAAAGAGAGTATCATTTTCCTTTTCATTTTTTAATTTAATTTTTATTTTTCATTTTTAACTTATATGATAATGATTTTTTCTTTTTATGGTTCTGCCTTTTATTTTAATTTTTATAACGGCACAAATTTGAGATTATCTACCGATAATTGGATTTTTCGTAGAAAATTTATAAAGATGAATAACAGATAATATCAATTTTTTCGACATAGATTCTATTAAAAAAATATAACACATCACATAAATTCAATAATATTTAAACAGAAATACAATCCACCTCATTTTTAAAGACTCAAATTCAATATTACAACATATATATTTATTTACAAGTAAATAAGTGTTAGAAAATAAGTTAGCTTAGTAATATATATCACCTAGGAAGTACGAAGATGTATTATAATCTGAAAGGATGCTATTGGTGGCTAGGAACGAAGAACATAGAGGATTTCATAAGACGATGCTTGACCCGCCAACAAGGGAAGGCCTCGAGACAGCGTCTAGCAAGATTGCTATAGCCCTTAAATGGGAAGCAGTGTATATGGGTTCTATCTCGAATTGGCCAAAGATTAAGCAGTGAACCGAGTAGTGGAGAAACAGACCATACAAGACAACTTACTCCCTTTGAGAGGAACTTGAATGAAGAATATAATTGATGACCAACTCTTTTTAATTAATGCACACTCAGTTTAATTAACGAAAAAAATTCCTCTCCACTCCTTGGATTCTTAGTTCTAATTGGGTAGGTCGTGCGGGCCCCGACCTTAACGACATATCAAATGATCCATGGTTTTTCATTTCTTATATGATTGTTTGACTCATAGCCCATGTGCAACTTATACGAGTCGCTTTGCGTGTCCAAATTATCCTTATTGTAACTGAAAATTTTCCGATCGGAGAAATAGCGCAATGGGTTCTCAGGAGAACGACCGAGCAATCTTGGAGGAGGGTCTTTTACAGGTTTGATCTCTCTGCCTCGGTATATTCGGAATAGGACTGTTTCCGCTAGTGGAATGGTCAAAGGGTGTGAATCACTTGAATCTCGAACCCATATATACTTCGCATTCGTGATTTCATCTTTCTTTCCCCTGTTCGTTAGATTCTTAAGACGAAGATCTTGAAGATATATGAAATGAACATGGATAACCTGTTAGCGAATTAATCGTTTACGTAATTAGACAATTTGAGCACTTGATGTCCTTCGTGATGCTTGCTAAGAAGAAGTCTAACAATTAATTCTGGTTAGCTCAATGGGTCTGAAATTGATGTTCATAGTTTTTGGATTAATCTTCTTCCTAAACTATGAGCATTGTTGAAGCCATTTATTTCGTCATATACAGCCAAGTCTTCATAATATTGAAGTGTTTAATTTATTTGGAATTGGGTATGTGAAGGCTGATGACCATTTGTTTTTCTCCTGCTTCTTTCTTCTTCCCTCTCGGATGAAGGCTTCTTTTCCCTGTGATTGATTTGCCTTACATAATTTGGGTGGTTACTCATTTGTGAGATCCATATCAACACATGACATGCGAATTGTGCTAGTATAGGCACACGCTTTACTTGAGTTTATTGAAACTCTAACGAAAAGACCTTTGAGTTTTGTCTTGTGATGGTACCTTCGAAGCAGGCTGGATGTTTTGTTTTAAAACATGATGTTCTTGGTTAAGTAGGAGGGCTGTCTCCAATTGTGTGGCCGATTGGCCATTGTTAGGTTAAAGGGGAAGGGATTGGGATAAATAGATATTGATGTTCAGATTTTGGGATAAGGAATGTACAACTCAACAACATACAACACTTGTCAACTTCCTCATATGTTGGCACAAGCATCAACTGTTTTTGAATTGCGTATTCCAGGACTGAAGGAATGAGTATGCTAACAAGTTTCTAGTCCACCGGATGATTGACACACATAAATGTATAATATATGGACATTATAATTACACATGTATTCTAAAGATGTTTATTTGTATTTTCCTCTTAACCCGTCATATTACATATGTCATGTTAATATTTTTCATACAAGAAAAATACAAGGGTTCGGGGTTTGGGCGGTCTTATGAGGTATTTGGTTGAAGAGGAATGATTAAGTGTTTAGAGTGTTGGAGAGGGAGCACCAAGAAGGATATGTGGGCTCTTGGTAGGTTCCATGTCTCTCTTTGGGCTTTAGTTGTTATGTCTTTTTGTAATTACCCTTTTTAAGTATCATTTTGCTTCACTGGATTCTGCTGTTGTTTTAGTTTGACTCCTTTTGTTTGAGGCTAGTTTTTTTTGTATCTCCTTGTATTCTTCATTTTCTAAGTCTGTACTTCATAAGTTTTTCTTAAAGGAATATATATATATATATATATATATATATATATAAGAGTGGTCATGGTATTATCTATGCGACACTGCGGGGTCAACACCTACAAATGCTTAAATTTTGATTTCCTTCTTTTAGAATGAAAGCAATGGACTTTATACAGGCGATGGCTCAGTTGACTTCCATGGTAATCCTGTTCTCAAGCAAAATACAGGAAACTGGAAAGCATGCCCATTCATTCTAGGTATCTTTTTTTAGCTTTGGTATGTTTAGCATAAATTAGTAACTCAATTTGGATTTAACAAATTAAACTTCAAAAATTTAAACTGTCTTTTCTTTTTTATTCTTTACTTGACATTTGAATCCCTTTATTCATACAGGGAATGAAGGCTGTGAGCGATTGGCCTACTATGGGATTTCAACTAACCTTGTTACGTATCTTACAAATAAACTACATCAAGGAAATGTATCAGCTGCTAGAAACGTCACTACTTGGCAAGGAACTTGTTATCTTACACCCCTTATTGGAGCTATATTGGCAGATGCATACTGGGGAAGATATTGGACAATTGCTACTTTTTCAACAATTTACTTCATTGTATGTTTCATCTGAAGTGGATATGCCTTCCTCCCTTCCCTGGCATTTCTGTATTTTTGTTTTCTTTGCATATTATAGTGATTTTTGTCATGATGTTATTTGTAGATAGATTCCTATGGAACTATAAGCCCCTTTAAATGAACTGGTTAACATTTTCCTCAAAAAGTATTTTCAAGTACGATCTTATTCTCTTGTTTCTCTGTCTTGCCAAATCCTGCAACGTTAAGCTTAAATTCTAAGAATATTGGGGGACAAGATGGTTGCCTTACATAGCGCAATAAACAATGTATGAAGTAATATGACTGGTGGAAATTACTTTAGGGATATCATTTGTGGATCAAATACACTCTTTTGTTGCTTAGGATGCACCCTTGTCAAACCTGCATGCCAGTCTCAATATTATATTTTCAGAGTGCGACTAAAGATGCAGATTTTTCTTTACAGGGAATGTGTACATTAACTCTCTCTGCATCGGTTCCTGCTTTAAAGCCTGCTGAATGTGTTGGGTTTATGTGCCCCCCAGCTTCTGCTGCTCAGTATATTGTATTTTTCCTTGGGCTTTATTTGATTGCGCTTGGGACAGGTGGAATTAAACCATGTGTTTCATCCTTTGGAGCAGATCAGTTTGATGATACTGATCCTGCTGAAAGGGTTAAAAAGGGCTCGTTTTTCAACTGGTTTTACTTTTCTATCAACATTGGAGCTCTTATATCAAGTAGTTTCCTGGTTTGGATACAAGACAATGCTGGGTGGGGTCTGGGGTTTGGCATCCCTGCATTATTTATGGGCCTTGCTATTGTAAGTTTCTTCTCTGGCACAAAGCTCTACAGATTTCAGAAACCGGGAGGAAGCCCAATTACGAGAATGTGCCAGGTTTTGGTTGCTTCCTTTCATAAACGAAATGTAAAGATTCCTGGTGACAGTAATCTTCTATATGAGGTGCAAGACAAAATTTCTGCCATTGAAGGAAGTCGCAAGCTGGAACACAGCAATGAACTGAAGTAACTTTCTTTCACTAGCTGAGATATAATCTTGTAGCTGCATTCCAAAATATTTATTCTTTTTCCTTTATAAGGCAAACTTCTTATTTTTCATGTCAAATTTTGATTTGCCAATGATGGATTAGGTGACACAGTAAAACCCAGTTATTCTTTCAACATTTATATATTAGCATGTCTAGGGGAGTACCATATCTTCATTCTCTTTCCAGTTCCCAAGCAACTTGTTAGTGGGATCTTTCAAATGATATTTTTGATAGCAGTAATCGCCATTAGTTCGTTTCGTAGATTTGCTGCTTGAAACAATCGAGTGCGTAGCTATTACATGCATTAGGTATATGTGTATGGTATGTATATACTTGACAGATTCATGGTAGATTTTATGCATATTTTGAATCTGTCCTGATCATAGGAATATCTGGTAGGATAATTAGCAACCTTACTAATTATTTTACTGTCTGTGCTGACCTTTCTTCGCAATGAACATCATTTTGTCTGTAGTAAACATTGCAATTAAATGATGTTCTACTTTGACATATGATGTGAAAACCTGATCATGATTGAATACTGAGAAAATTCACGACTTATTGCTTGTTTGAGATGACTTTTTTAGTACTTGAAAAAGGATATTGCGCATTTAAAAATTCATTTCAAACAGAATTCTGGTGGTTATACATAGGAAAAATTTACAGTAAACTTTGTGTGTGCTGCAGATGCCTTGATAAGGCTGCTGTCATCTCTGATGCTGAGTTGAAAAGCGGAGACTTCTCCAATCCCTGGAAGCTTTGTACAGTAACTCAGGTCGAAGAATTCAAGATTCTTATCCGAATGTTCCCAATTTGGGCTACTGGAATTGTCTTTTCTGCTGTGTACGCCCAAATGTCGACATTGTTCGTAGAACAAGGGACAATGCTAGACACAACTATTGGTTCTTTCCGCATTCCTCCAGCCTCTCTCTCGACCTTCGACGTTGTAAGTGTTATTTTCTGGGTGCCTGTGTATGATAGATTCATAGTTCCAATGGCAAGAAAAGTCACAGGAAACGGGAGGGGATTCACAGAAATACAGCGAATGGGAATCGGCCTGTTCATATCAATTTTATGCATGTCAGCTGCAGCCTTGGTAGAGATCAACCGACTGGAACTCGCCAGAGAACTTAATTTGGTGCATAAACCAGAGGCTGTACCGCTGAGCATACTATGGCAGATACCACAATATTTCTTGCTGGGTGCAGCAGAAGTATTCACATTCATTGGGCAGCTCGAGTTCTTCTATGATCAATCTCCAGATGCCATGAGGAGTTTGTGCAGTGCATTGTCTCTGTTGACCACTGCGTTGGGGAATTACCTCAGTTCCTTCATTCTAACCATTGTAACCTACTTGACAACAAGAAATGGACAGCCCGGGTGGATACCAGATAACTTGAATGAGGGCCATCTGGATTTCTTCTTCTGGCTCTTGGCTGCACTAAGCTTCTTCAACTTGTTGCTCTATATTGTCTGTGCCAAACGCTACCGCCCAAAGAAGGCTTCTTAAAGGTGAAGGAAGAACATGCTGCTGCTGCTGCTGCTGACTGCTGTAACTGTAAGCCACAAAAGGCCATTTCCAGAAACAATATTTGGGTCATTATTCTGGTCTGCTGTATATATACATAGATTACAAACGGCCCCCATTTCCCTCTTCCTTTTTTAACTTCAAATTCATTTTTATATTGCAATTTGGCTTAAATTTGGTGTCATGTGCTTAAAAAAGCATGGATTAGTAACGATCTTAACCATCTTTGGTGGTTTGTTTGTTCATAATTGTTATTATTTTAAGGCTCTGTGTTCCAGAAATTCTTTATTTTCCCATCAGCACTTCGGGGAAAGGAAATATTAATGAAATAGTGCATGATCTTCATCATTAAGGCCAATGAAAATTCATTGAAATCAATGATTTTTAAAACATGATTGATATAGGTGTATAAATTTGAGAAAGAATTATAGAAAAATATTCCTGATTTACGTTTTTTGCGTTTGAATTTTAAAATTCGTTCGAAACGATTGCCTTTAACTTTGAAATTGTTTCAAACGATATATTTTCTGTTGGTGAGAAAATTGGAAAGGTGATAGCTATGGCTCCTCACCGTTCTCATTTCGATCTGATCGATCGTGACACGGAGTTGAGAGAAGGCAAATGGAGAGAGATATAATTACAGAAAGTGGGTTTGTTTGTGGTAATGAATTTTCAAATGTTTTAGAGCAGGGGATCTTCTTACATTAATGGTGCCTCTGGCTGTGGCTCCCACACGCAACTCTGTCTCTATCTCTCTCTCTAGTACTCGTATGAACTGTTGATGGTGCTGTTGCTTGCTCTCTGGTTTGAATATAATGGGAATTGGGACGGAATCTTCATCCCTATGCGCTCTTGTGTCGGTTCGTTTTCTGGAGGAGATGCGCCGCTGTAATGTTTGTGATCGCTGCTTCTGATTCTTACGTTTCCGCCATGTTTAGTTACCATTCCTCCATCTCCTTCCGTCGTACTCTTCAGATTCTTCTCCTCTTCACTGCCATTTCTCTCGCTTGTCTTGTTATTTTCAGAGAACTCGACTCCTTTCGCTACTTTCCTCTCTTCTCCTTCTCCACTTTCTCCGCTTCTCCTCCTCCTGCTTTTCCCTTCTTCCCCTCCCTCGCTGATGACGATGAGCCTTCTGCTGTGAGTTATCTCGTTTCCTTGTTCGTCTTCTGTTCATGTTTTGCCATTTTGGTTGATTATTTTCTTACTTTTTGTTCTTTTGGTTTGTGTTGATTAATCTAGTTTCCGTAATCGTCGTTCTTTCGAATTGTGAGTTTGAATGTCATCGATGAATTGGCCTTGATAATGAGGGATGTGCTTTGGTAGTGTATTTTTCTTAGCGCCGAAAAATACAGAACGATCATGACTTCCCCTTTCTTATGCTGAAGTATTGATCTGCTCTGGATTGGATGTTTTATGCTTCTGATTATACTCTTACTTGCCTCTGATTTTGCCTCGTTTGGCTGATTATAGGATGCTGATGAGTATGAACTGGGGAAGGTCTTGAAGGATGCTGCAACAGAAAATAGAACTGTTATTTTAACTACTTTAAATGAAGCATGGGCTACTCCAAACTCAGTAATTGATCTCTTTCTCGAGAGCTTCAGAATTGGGAATCAAACTCGCCAACTATTGAACCATTTGGTCATTATTGCATTTGACAAAAAGGCATTCATTCGTTGCTTGGCTATCCATGTCCATTGCTTTTCTCTCGTTACTGAAGGAGTTGATTTTCATTCAGAGGCATATTTTATGTCACCCGACTACTTGAAGATGATGTGGAGAAGGATTGATTTTCTGCGAACTGTTCTTGAGATGGGGTACAATTTTGTGTTCACGGTATCATACTCTCTCCTTTTCCTTTGAGATGGTTGCTTCCTTAGTTTTTATTTATATCAATAGTTCATTTTTTTTTTTAAATTTCCTCTGGAAGATTGTGATAAGTAATATATCTTAATCCAATGCCCGGGTAGGTTGGATAAACAGCATGCTAGTAAATCGATAATGGGTCGACAATCGATCTATGTTCAGTCTTATTTTGATATTACTAGTGAAGCAATTTACAGTTTGCCTTGTGTAGATTTCTTTTTTGTACTTTATAATTTATCAATATATATGGTATACCGTAAAGAACAACATTGATAAGCGATATGTCGAGACTGTGGTAGGTCACCTCTTTTGAAAGTTGTACACTTAACATCATACTAAGAGAACCCTGAAGAGAATGTTTGGGAGTGATCTTAAACCTGACAACAAAAGTGATTTTAATCACTTTCAAAGATGTCCTAAATCTTTTTGTGTGCAAGATTTTCTAGAGAATTCTGTTATTTACATTTGAAATATAAATGAAATAAGTGATAAGAAGAACATTACTTGTGAGGAACTTGAAGGTGTCAATCATTTCTCTCTATAACACGCGTTACACACGTGTATCGAGGTGTCTTTCCAGGTGATACTCTGATTTGTACATCCAACCTGTATGGGTCTTCAATCTTATTATGGGTATCCAACATATGTTAGGAGGGTGTTTCAGTCTTAAAGTATATGGACAGCATACACAATTTCATATACCAAATGTTTGTGCTTCATAACTATTTGACATGGAGAACAGGTATCAAACTGGATGCCGATGAATCGTTTTTGGGTTTGGATGTCTTTTCTCTCCTTCACTGTTAGAGCATTCTTGGGTAGTTCCTGCAGGGAAAGATTTTTTGAAGTGGAAAATTCCTTTATCAATCAAGTGTCACCTCTGCTCCCTAGGTTGATTTAAGATAAGGAATTAGGGTCAATCCATTGCCCACTTAGTTGTGGTTCTCCTCCTCCACTATCAGCAGTAACTCCCATATTAGGTCTCCCTTACCTTTTGTCTCAATAGTCAAGCTTCTGTATACAGTATCTATACATGCCTGCTTTTAACTCTTGTCGCTTGAGATCTGTTATTTAGCTGTTTCATGTATGACGGAGTAAATTGAAGAATTAGATTATCATCCTTAAGGATATATCAGTTCTTATATTATCATCCTTAAGGATATATCAGTTCTTATTTTGATGTATGTTGAAGGATGTCAATTCACATGCTCCTCTCATGTCTGTATCGAGCACTCAGATCAAGATATAACTTTATTAAGTATTCCTTTTGTATTTCTTTTAATTCCCTACTCGTGTTTCTTCCTTCAGGATGCTGATGTTATGTGGTTCAGGGATCCGTTCCCTTTCTTTGACATGGATGCAGACTTCCAGATTGCTTGTGATCACTACCTGGGCATCCCTGATGATTTAGATAACAGACCCAATGGAGGGTTTAACTATGTGAAATCCAATAATCGGTCAATTGAGTTTTACAAGTACTGGTACTCATCTCGAGAAACATATCTGGGATACCATGATCAGGATGTTCTTAATAAGATCAAATACGATTTTTTCATCTATGAAATTGGACTAAAGATTATCTTTCTGGATACTGCTTATTTTGGTGGGTTCTGTGAACCCAGCAAAGACTTGAATCGTGTACTAACCATGCATGCAAACTGCTGTATTGGAATGAACAACAAGCTTCATGATCTTAGAATTATGCTCGAGGATTGGAAGCATTACATGTCTATGCCGCCATATCTTAAGGCATCATCAAATTCGTCTTGGAGAGTTCCACAGAATTGCAGGTATGGCTCCATTTCTAGCTCATACAAATTTACCATTCTTGAATTTCGTTTTTTAATATGTACTTTATTCTTTTTTTTTCCTCTTGTTCCAGTATCTGATCATTGTTTAATCGGCGATTCTCCAAAGAATTTTTGAATCCCACCAAACTCGGTCATTTTTGCACTGCACATTTCGAGTTCTGTGGACCTTCTTCTTAAAGATAGTTCGAGGTCCAGCCGTTCCATTGTACATCGCCAAACTGGAAAACGTGAAGAACACAGCCTAACCATCATTAGGAAGCTTGCTTGGTAGAATTTTAATTCGATTACATCAGAAGCCTGTAACCACAATTAGATAAACTAGACTGCATATTCTCCCTTGGTAGAATTTTAATTCGATTACATTAGGTGCCTGTTTGGATCGATTTCGAATGTTGAATGCCCTGGAATAAATGTGTTTGGATATGAAATATAATTGATGTCCGTAAACAAATGTTTGATTTCGTTGATTTTGCAAATGAAATCAAAACTAATTGATTAAATATAAAACAAGAAAATAGTTGAATGAAAATTTTTGGTTAATCACAAATTGACACATTCTGATCGTTCAATCGAATAAGGTAATTTGGTCAAATTGGGCCATGTTATTTGGTCATTACGTTCAATTGAGCTCCAAAAAGAGCTGATCCAAGGCCAACCAAGTCCGAGTTCAATTGGTTGGGTCCAAGGTCGATCAAGCCCAAATCCAATCAATTGATATTATCTATAGTCCAAACTAGGAAGATCTCGTGGAGAAAGAGGTTCTATACAGTTGGAATGCACCAAGAACTTGCCAAAATGGGCTCACGGGGCATCAACTAATGGCAAGTTCCTCATTAAGTATACAACCATCCAAGAATAAAAGTCTCATCTTCCATAAAAACCCAGCTTCAGGAGTTCTTTTGTTCATGGCTACATAATATCCTTAAATCTTGGCGAAGTGGAAATGAATATATACACATTATACATCATTCCTATGATACTGCCAAAGAATTCAAAACCTACAAAGTGAAATAATTCAAAAGATAAAGGATGTACAGTTTCTGGGACGATTGCCAATGTGAAACACTTCCCAGTGACCGCAAAAGAGAGACAATATTTGTTATTTATGCTGTATCAGCACCGGACTCCAAATTCTCACGTCCCATAAGATAACCTTCACTCCAAACTTCTATGTATCTGATATGTACGTACAAAGGATTAAGGGGAAACAAAAAACAAGAAAGAACAGGAAATTTATTGTATATGCACTGAATAGCGAGTACCAACCTTGAACCGTCAACATTAATGCAAAGAAAGTCGCCATGACGCCAACCATCTTGGAAATGACCAAATAGAACATCGCCTGACCTTGAGTAGAAGCGACCTTCTCCATAAGCCTTTCCCTTCCAGAAGTTTGCAAACCATCGATCCCCTGTGTGAAAATAAAACCAGCCCTGATAACACATGGGATTTGTGTCAGTTCAATGAAAGGCTCCTGTACAGCAAAATCACTGCCAACACATAATTCGAAGTGTATTTCAGGTTAAAAAAACGATAAAAATTTGGGAAAGAGGAAACAGTTTTAGTCTAAAAGGTCTGGGGAATAGATTTTGGTACAGAATCATTGTTGTATTAATGACACTAACCAAAATAGGATTGAACAAGTCGTGTGGTAATGACCTTTAGGTTTCATTATAGATAATTCGTCATGTCATTGACTCTTTGCATGACATCACTTGACATATTCCTTGATATCAATAATGGAACAATGTTCCAAGGAGCCAACTAAGAACGGAGTTTCTTTAACCTTTTAGGAACTGAGAATCATTTTCTTTCAAAGGTGTATCCTTCTCATATAATTATTATAAAATTAATTTTTATTTTGTGCACAACAAAGCTTTTTAGAGATGGTCACTTGGAGTGAAACAAACAAAAACGCGAGGACAAACCTTTCCATGCATGACATCATCTCTCCATGATCCTTGAAACATATCTCCATTGTTGAAGTAGACTGTACCTTGACCTGATCTCATACCATAGCGCCACATACCATCATATATGCTCCCATCTTGAAGTACTAGACGGCCCTGTACATATAGTCAAAAGCTGCATGTCATAAAGATTGGTATAAAATAAGTTTGCACTTGTCTTCTATGTCAGGGACAATACCTTCCCTTCGGGAAGCCCTCCTTGGCATCGTCCCCTGTAAACGCCGCCTCTGTACTGCAACTCCATAACAGGACTCCACTTTTTAGGTGAATCTCGCTCGGCTTCCTGAATGTAATGTGATCATTGTACTTCACATTTTCAGATTCAGAAAACTCTATAACAGGAAAATTTTGGTAATAATAAACTATTAGCTGAGAACTGTTTATGGATACGTTAACATATTATAGGAAGGAATTCGGAGTAGATTCTTTTACTTTTATGGGCTCCATGGAACGATCAATTGCAGCAAGTAGAACCATGTCAATTGATTGGACTTCACTCAAATACATTGCATATAGAAAATGTGACGAGCTCAAACTCATCCAAACTAATTGGGCTAGAAATAATTCTAACAATTGGCAACAATCAAGAATGAAATATGATTACAAAATAATTTATCAAGGGAACACCAAAAGGAAGTCCAAAAATGAATGACTACCGAGACCTCCAAGCAAAAGTTAAGTCGAGCATTCTAGGATGAAGGGGGGAGTTCAAACCACTAGACATCGGAGGTATCCAAAAAGACACCACTATAAATATTTAGTACAAGAATATTGCAAGAATACATGATCTTGAGATTTGACCCTCTAACAGCGAGAGCAGCGGTTAGATCAAGTGTAGCAGAGGGGGAATTCATCTTTTGGATAATGTCCATTGTGTTTGTGCCCTCTTGATCAAGTGTGGCAAAGGGGGGATTTCTTTTGGATAATGTCCATCGTGTTTATGCCCTCTAAAGCAAGATTCCAAAAACAAACAAAAAAAAAATGATATTTTTGAGTATTCCTTGTTATGTTTTCTTTTTTTTCTAAATGGCACTCATGTTTGTGTGATCATGCATAAGAGAGCCAGGGGAGAAAAGGCCAGTGGAGTCCAAGCGTACACAAATATTCTCCTGCTGAATAAGATTGATAAACAGGATGTTGCATATCAGAGTAATCCGATCTTTCTACCTGAGACAGGTCTATAATAATATTGAAAAGCTATAAGCCAAGCCTCTCTCGTAGTTCATACACTTCAACGAAGAATTTTGGGAGCTAGAAATCTGGAAAAGCCTTGGGAAGACAGTTTTCAACGAAATGGATTAACCAAAGCTAGATGAGTGATGTCAGAAGTTTACCTTCCTCAAACCCACTTTGAAGTTCAAGAAGTTAATGGAAAGGCCTTTAAAACAAAACTACGGAGTTCCAGGGGCTTCCCTTTAAGAATCTGATGGTCACAAGTAAACCAACCTTCTCTATTCATCTTAAGGTCTTTCAAGAGAGCATCTCCAAGTGCATCCCGAAATTTTATGAGCAACCTGTATCTTTTAGATTTCCCGCTCCAACACTGTGCCCTTTCTAAGGGTTAGAAGCTTCCTTTCGATTAACAAGATGACTCCCACACTTGAATTCCCTCTCAAGCCCAAAGGAAAATTTCCATTTTTTTCTTCAACAGATTAGCAACCTTATATGCATCTGAAAAAGGGATCAGAAAAAATTGCGTACAGACAGACAAAACAGTATCTAGTAACATCAATCTTCCTCCTCCAGAGAAAACAACTTTTTTTCATTTATTTAATCCCAATAACGTGTAAACTTTGCTAATGAATCAACACCCAGACAACTCAAATGTGAGACCCTGGCTAAGCACGCAAGTCTTTTGGCTTCCTAAATCCTACATAGCTCTTGTCCGTCAATATTGACCCCTACAAAACACGATCAGTTGAAACAGAAGATAAATCTATGGGAGGAAAGATAAATATGCAAAATGAAGCATGATTTGACCTTTAAAAAAAGTTAGGCATCAAAAGATGAAAACAAAAAGGATGCACACAAAACAACACGCGGCCACAGTCACAGATGTCACATTAATTCAAAATATGAATGATGAGTGAAAAATCTATAAGAAACACATCACCAGCATTGATGCAGCACGAGCAGACAGAAGTCCTTGCTTCTTAGGAAGGTCAGGAGATTTCCCTCTTAAAAATGCAGATGAGGTATCGTAAAATTCCTTAATCACTTCTAAACTAGTATCAGTTAACGAAGTCTGAGAAGAAAATCTGGAAGTAGTAATTGAAGCTTTAGATTTCTTCTCATATTTCATCTCTGGATTTGGAGTGGATTTATCTTTCAGCTCTTCTGAAGGTCTCACCCCAACTGGGAGGTCAAATATGCTTATACTGTCAAATGCAGAAGCCAATTCAGCATCAGCAGCTCTTTCCCTAGCCCACTGCTGTGCAATCTGATGTGCTGGACCCAAATTCCATCTGTGGAGGGGGTCTCTGCGAAAAGAAGCTCCTACAAAATGCATTTAAATTCGATAGTTATGAGTAATATAAGCAGCGCTCTAGATAATGTCTCGTGTCCCAAGTGTTACCACCTATCTGTGCATAAAGCAAGATTTAAACAGGAAATTTCATAATGCTAACCTCTACTAACTGCATTGCTGAAAGGCAAAGAATTCACATCAGTTTCTACTATTCCAGCCTCAGGTTGTTCAAAATCACTGTCATTTGTTCCCCTAAATGTAACAAAATTATCAGGAACCAACAAACAAGTAAAGGAGGAGACGTAGAAACTGAGCCAGCTCAGAAGAAATGAATTTTACCTTGAACTTAATAAATCACTGTAGTTGAATGTTGTCTGGAGATTTTCAGGATCTTGATAAAAAATTTTATCCAAGCCCTCTGAAGCAATTTGAGTTATGACCATATCAGAGTCTGATGACTCTCTTACATTGGAAGGATTTGCATCTTCAGGCATATCACTTTCTTCAGCTTCCTCTAATGGTTCTTGAGGTTTCCATAAAAGCTTGAAAACCGAAGGGAAACGCTGGGCCAATCTTGATAAAATGCTACTACTTTTGGAAGATTGCTGCTTTGTTGAGCTGGAATTCATATGAAAGTTACACAAAATTTGATCCATAAACTATAAGTAGGTTTTAATTCAACCTTCCTCTCAGTTGTAATGATGTCCTTTTTGCAACAACAAAAAAATATAAATGAGCTAGCAACATGGTACCGTTAGAATGGGCAATGTCAACAATGGAGCAGGAAGAAGTATGGAGAAATGATTCAACTATAAATAAATTAACGACAATCAATTTGACACTACACAAAGTTTATAAACAAAATTGGAATATGTGCTCAAATTCGGAGTCAAAGTTATAGTTGAGTCAATTAATTATGTCTTAAATCCTAATGTACTAAAGCAACAGTGAAGATGACTATCACTATAGCTATAACATTAAGCAAATCAAATGGAAAGAGAACCCCTGAAAGAAAGCCTAAGAATAAACAAGAGTAGCTCAAATAAATTTTCAGCTCATCTAACATCTTCCATGAAGAATCTCTCAAGCCAAACACTCAGAACTAAGTTGATTGAGAGTTCAATTTAAAATCAAAGATCATCTTTCAGGACAGTAAGGGTACCTGAAGAACACGGTGCATTAAAGGGAGTGTCAAGCAATCTCATGAACTTCAAACAAACTTGATCAATAACCAATCAGTGCACTTAAGCTTAATTTTTATAAGGTTGGCCAAACGAAATCTATTAATAGCAATAAGGCTTTTCAGTATGGTTCTACCATGAATGTACCAAGTAAGAACATTTATTTAGAACAAGTCTAACCTTCAGTACAGTATCTAGACCAATCATCATAACTAAAATTGAACTAAACTTTTCAAGTTGTTTAATTCCCTTCCTGTGTTCCTGGCTTGATTTACATTTCCTTTGGAACTTGTTGCCTATTGGCGTGAGGTAGAAATCATTCTCCCTGAGACATTTTGCCATACCCACTTGAAAGGCAAACTTTTCCTATGATTGATCCCCTAATTTTTTTTTTCCTAGCAAGACTTCTATCTTTTTCTTTTTTTTTTTTATTTTTTTTTTATTTTTTTACTGCAATCTTCTATTGTTAGACTTCGCTAGAAATTGTATTAACCAAGATGAACTTTCAACTTCCTGACCATGTGCCTGTTTAATGGGAAAAGGAAGGAAAGACATATTCCAACCTCCAAGTCGAAAGATTGATCAACCTTACCTTTGAGAACAAAACCTTATATAAAAAGACTAGAGAACTCAACGTTAGAGAAATACACGTGGTAAACTTTCCCCTCTTATTTTAGGTTAACAATCCAACCACTTGTTCTAAGAATTCCTTTTGTTCTTTTTTTTTTTTTTTCTTTAACTTTTTCACTAGGCTGGGGATAGACCCCTAAGATTTTAACTTCATACCTAGGTTAGGCACGAATGGCTCCCTGTTTGGTTCAAGCTTCTTTTGCTTGCGTTTTATTCATATAGAAAATCTTAAGATGGAAAAGTGAGGAAAGAATAACAGTCTTACGTCAGATACATAACCCTCTTCTCTATATAATTGTCTGGTATGTTTGTATTTTATTGATAAAAACCATCTCATTTCCTTCAAAAAGAAAAATATACAAAGTTTACGAGGGAGGCCAATTGCTCCAAGCAAAATCCCTTGACCTCCAACTGTCCTAATAATGTACATTTATTATATATGACTTCACCAATACAAAAAACATTGACAAATTCTGACAAGTGATAAGAAATTAAAAAAAAAAAAAAAAAAAAAAAAAAAA